TGTTTGGTACCCGGGATAAACCCCCTATTGGGGTATAATCTAGTCGTAGACACACATGGTGGGATCGTGCCTTCCCCCCTGACCTGGGCACTAGCAGTCTGTGAGCTCATCCATGAGTCTCTGCCTTTTCTGTTGTTTGTATCAGGTTTGCAGCTCATCACAATCCTCTCCCCGGGTCTCTCAGCTCAGATTTGTGTGCTGGCTCTTGGGATCAGGAGAGAGCTGTCTCTTTAAGCATTGTTAGCCAACAGACCTAGCAAGGTGGTTTAAATATTGATTTATTATCCAACATGCCACCTGGCTCACCTAACTTTGGGTTTCTGTGGATTGGATAAGCATTTCTTTCCTGGCTGCACGTGGGCTGATTGTGAACCAGATTGTTTCTCAAATACAGGCCCTACAGCTAGCTGCTGGAGCTGCTTCCTTGAGCTGATTGTGATCTGTTAGCCGATGTTCCTTCCTCCCTTGATTCATTTGTTTATTCAGCAACCCTTTCTGAGCACTATATGCCAGGTTCTGAATTGGGCAGGGACACAGGGACAAAAGTCACCTCCCGACCCGTGCTGGCTCCCATGTCACATGATACAGATGGTCTGGGGGTGCTGCACAGGGCTGCTGGGGGCATCTGGCATCAGGAACTCGCCCAGCTGCTCGTGTCCTCCCCCATCCTGGCCGGCACATGCTTTGGATCCTGCAGTATTTTTAGTAACGGTGAGGTCCCTTGTGGGATCTCTTCCAGCATTTTGGATAAATGGAGCAGAACCCTAGTTGCAAGGAGCTGATTATGACTTCTTTCAGTTATTCTTCCATTCCTTTCTTTTCAGGACATACAAACAAGAGTTAACTGTAGGCACTTTCTGCCTTTGAAACGTGAATTCCAGTACAAACTTGCATTTCTCATGTCCTTACCCTTCTCCTCAACCCCCCGGGTTGGTGACACCACCTGGTATCCGCCATGCTAGGAGGTCTGCGTCTGTGACCTTCCAGCCCTACACACTGATTTGACTGCCACCCCCACCTCTTGCCATGATCTCGAGCTCATTTCCATAATCTTATCTGAGTTAGGGATTCCACCTCGAGTCTCCCCGTCTCAGGACCTGGATGGAGAGGCAGCACGCTGTAGCCTCTGGTGCCCTGTGGTCAGGGCCTGGTCCCACTCTACCCCGAAGAGTACTGTGCCTTTGGACATGTGCATCTCTGTGCTCCCAGTTCCTGCTTTGATAAATGGAGACAGTAATGGGCCTTCCTCGCAGACAGCTGTCCAGGGAGGGTCAACATTCATTCATTCTTGCGTTGAGTCTCTGTTCAGAGCCTGCCAGGCAGCAGGCGCTTGGGATACAGCAGTGAACAGAGTTCCTGCCTCGAGGCGCCGACCTCCTGGCACAGTGACTCTGGGCCGTGCACTGGAGCAGAGCCTGTGCCCGGAGGCTCAGGAAACGCCAGCTGTTGTGTTCTTGTCTGGTTCGCTGCTCCCAGTGGTGTCATTGCTTCTCCACGACATATCCATTTGGTTTCTTCTCCTGTGCCAGACTTCAGTATCTCCTTTCTTTATTTTCCTTTCAAAAAATCCTGCTCGTCTCTGTCTTGATTGTTCTTGGAAGGACCCCGATGTGCCTGAGTCTGCTGATGTCTTCACCTGGGGAAAGGACAGCCGCACGTGGTGCACATTCTGTCGTGAACTTCCAACATCTCTAGTGCAAATACCCAACTAGAATCCTGTCTCTTCATCATCCTCGTGTTCAACTGTTTCTAGAGTCTAGATCGACATCTTCTTATGTAAATCATCTTCAGTGTGGCGGTGTTTCATGGCAGACGCAGCCCGTCTTGACACTTCATCAGACTCAATGAGCTTTGTTGGCTGCCCGAGGAAGTGTGCTTACCCAGCTTAGAGTTAGTCTGTGGGAAATGCCTTCTGGATTCCAGACCACCAGCTCATGCTGATGCTACTTGTGAGCTGGGGGCCACTTGTCCAGGTGTTGTAACAAGTCAATTTTTTATGGTGCACATCAGTCTAGGAGAACTGTCTGTGGGCTCTCTCACTCCCTCTCGGAAACTTAAAACACGCCCACACACCCACGCAGACATGCACACACGCAAACGCGCACGCACACACACCCTTAAGCCACAACCGAGTCAGCAGGTGGGCTGTGGGTCTCAGACCTGCCTCTGGGCCCGCTGTGGTTGGTGTGTGGCACAGTGAAGCCACCTGTCCCCTGGACGCCACCTTTGCCCCTGAGCAAAAGTGTGTAGTCCTCACCCCACGTGTTTGCTGGTGTTCTGAGACATTTCTCTTCTCTTTCCTTCTCTGTTTCTCCTCCAAACCTCAGATCTCTCCCCAAAGCCCTGAATTAAATCAGTGTTCAATTTAACTCCTGTGTCTCATAACGATAGCTGCCATTACTGAGTGGCCACAGGCCTCATCCCCTTTGCTCGTCACCTGCATGTAGTTGCTGTCACCCCTTCTCCTTGCAGATGCAGAACCCAAGGCTCAGAGGGCGATCTGGCTTCCAGGGTCCCCAGCCAGGCAGTGGTGGTAGTGATGCGCCCTCATGCCCGGCCCCCCAACACCCCAGGCAGTGGTGGGGCCACTCACACCCAGGCTGTCTGACTCCAGGGTCTGAACCACCGTGTGAGTGGGGCCTCCACCCTGCCAAGCCCGCCCTCGCCCATCTTCCCTGAGGCCCACTGCTGTGGGCAGAAAGGCCAAGAGAGACTTGTGGCGGGCTTAGGCAAGGCTACCCGTGTCCATTTCCAATTATGACTTAACCCAGCAGCTTCTTTGCAAAGCAAAGCGACCCCTTGTCTCGGACCTTTGGGCGCCAAGCTATTCGAAGCCTGGAGGCTCTCTGCCCTGCCACCTCCCAGAGCCTCAGTTGCCCTGTGATTCTTTCCTCTGCCAGAGAGCTGTTTTCCCCGCGTTTCATTTGCATTTTCTTTAGAATTGGACCTCCGTGTGACTTAGAGCCTCACTGTTAATTTGAAAGCAGGGTATGTGAATACCTGCGTAGATTGAGAACAAACATGCCGCTGTCCCTGAAAGTGCTTTTAAATGGCCGGGGCAGCCCTCATGGGTCATCATCATCATCATCATCATCTAGCAGGACCTTCCATAAGAAAAGTCCTGATAATAAAAGCATAGTTTTTAAATCAAGAACATTAATTAAAAAAAAAAACTTTTTTATTCTGGAAATGCCCAAATATTCATGAAAGTAGAGAGAAGAGTATACTGAACCCCAGGTGTCCCTCCCAGACAGAGGGCCCCTCCCTCCGTCTCCCGAGTTCCTTTTAAGAAGCGTCTTTTGCTGTATTTGTATGAGGCCTCTAGTCCAGTACAGAAGGGGCTTCAGTTCTTTTTTTGTTTGTATCATTTTTTGAGATTTTTAAATTAATCACCAATGTTTAAAAATCAGCAGATTCCTCATAAACACGTAGGTTCCTGGCTTCTCTTGGAACATCGGGAGGCTGGTGGTGGGGCCTTGCTCCTTGGGTGGGACAGCAGGCAGGGGCTGGGCAGTAGCTGTCCTTTTGAGGGGCCCCCGCCAGCCCTCCTCACTTCCCTATGTCACCTGCCTGGCCTGCCCTAAACACGGTTCCACGTGAGCCTGGCTTTCATGAGTGGGATGGAGTCTGTCTTTCTGCCTCTCTCCAGGTTTTTGCAAATCGTTCTGTATCCTAGGGTGAATATGCATAACCTTCTAAGATTTCTGATAGCTGTTAGGTTGATTAGTATCACATTGTTACCTTTGTAGGTCAAAAATGATTGATTTGGGTGATTTCATGTAGTTCAACCTAATAAAAGATATGGTTTAAAATTTTTAAAATGAAGGAAGAAGTACAATATGCATGTTGTGCTGGGGGGGGCAAGATTTGGGGGTGGGGGAGTAGCAGGTGTGCAGTCCTGATCCCATCAGACTAAAGGGGTGTGGTCAAGAGCCCACAGCGGCTGCAGCCTGAGGTTGTGATGAGACCTTGGCCTCCCGTGAGCCTGCTTTTCTCCTTTTGTTTGTTTTCTATAACAGCTTTATTGAGAGGCAGTTCACATACCATGCAATTCACCCATTTAAAGTGTACAAGTCACTGATCTTTAGTGTATTCACAGTTACACAGCCTTCACCACAACCAATTTTGGAATATTTTCATCACTCCAAAGAGAAACCCCTACTCACATTACAGTCGCTCCCATTTCCCCCTAATCCCCTACCGCTAGGCAACCACTCGTCCACCTCTGACCCTATGGGTTTCCCTGTTCTGCACATTGCAGATGAATGGAGTCAAACAATATCCAGTCTTTTGTGACTGGTTTCTTTCACTCAGCTTAGTATTTTCAAGGTTCATCCATGTTGTAGCATCTGCCAGTACTTTGTGTCTTTTTATGGCCGGATAGTATGCCAGTGTGTGGATCCATCACATTTTCTTTGTCCTTTCATCAGTTGATGGACATTTGGGTTGTTTCTACTTTTTGGCTATTATGAATAATGCTGTTATAAAATCTCTGTACAAGTTTTTGTGTGAAACTGTGTTTTTATTTCTCTTGGGTGTATACCTAGGAGTGGAATTGCTGGGTCATGTGGTAACTTGATGTTTAGCCCTTTGAGAAACTCCAGTCTGTTTCCACAGTGGCTGCACCATTTTCCTTCCCCAGCAGCAGTGTACAAGGGCTCTGATTTCTCCACATTCTCACCAGCACTTATCTGACTTTTTGAGGCAGCCATTCCACTAGCTATTGTAACCAAACTTTCCTGGCAGGATAAGATATCTGTGGAGTTAGGAAAAGGATTGTCATTTTGTTAGCGCCCCAGAACATCAGCCATGGTCGCGAGGAAGCCAGGTTGATGACGTGAGCTTCAGCACGCTCAGATGGTGCCTCCCCGCCCCGGAGCTGGCTGCGCTCCTGCTGCTGGGTAGTAAGAGGGCTTTGGTTTTTACTCCTTGTTTCCAGGATAGAAAATAGCCTCCCCTTCCCTCATATCTAATCTGCCATGTGCCCCTTCTCTGTACAGGTGTCACCATGAAGCTCATGGATGAGGTGGCTGGGATCGTAGCTGCTCGTCACTGCAAGACCAACATAGTCACGGCTTCCGTGGACGCCATTAACTTTCATGACAAGATCAGAAAAGGTAACAGAATCTGCTGACAGAGAGAAGGGGGTGGCTTTGGCTGCTTGGGTCGTTTGCACCAGTTTGCTTTTGGTTCACACACTGTCACTCGGCTGCATTGTCTGCCCATTTGCTGCAAGAAACAGGAAGCCAGAGTCCTGTGCTTTGTCCTTGTTTCTGCGTTTGTGAGGCTAGGGGTCGTTGATTTGATTTTTCAATCTGGTAAAATCTGTACCTCAGATATGATTGGGGCTTTATCCTACTAAAGAGCAGCATGAACTCATTCAAAATGCCCCATGAACAGAGCCCTACAAAGATCCTGTGAGCACAGTTGCTGTGACAGTTGCCACCAGATCTTGTGGCAGGCACGTTTCTTCTTCAGGGAGGAATAGATAATCCATGATGTAAGTAATGAGGGGGTCGGTGCCGAGAAGCCTGTGGACCACGGTCCTTGGCCAGCCCTGCCCACGCCACCTGGGGCAGCACTGGGGTTTGGTAGTTTTTCCCAACACAGAAATCCAGTCCCAGTGACCTGGCCCTTGGCCCCACCCGGAAATGGTGCTTGCCGTCTCTCCAGTGACTTTGCCGGCAGGGGTGGCAGGGCCTCCGCAATGTGTATGGGTGCAGTTCACCATGCTCGTCTCACGTCGTTGCTGGTCTGAGATATAAAGTGAATGTCTCCACCAGACACGTGGTGATTTCTGTTCATGTTGTGTCTTCTGAGATGGGGCTCTGCGCCCCTGAAGAGTAGCACTTTGCAGTGGGGTCAGGGCTGCGAGAGCCTGGTATTGATTCTGAAGAAGTCTCACTGTGAAAGCAGCTCATTGGAAAAGCTGTGGGGTCAGACCAGCTCCCGGCCGTGGGAGGTGGCAAAGTGGAAGGAAGGCAAGTTGGTCTGTGCTCGCCACGGGCCTCGAGAAGCACCGCTCACTCGGTGGAGCTGTCCTGCGTCCAGAACCACAAAGGCCGCGGTCCGGCCCCTGTGCTCTCTCCTGCAGCTGCTCCTGCAGAACACGCCTGGCACTTGAAGGCCTGTGTGCTGGGGACAGAGCATCTTGAAATTGGAGGGCTTGCCTCCCCTCCCTGCCAGGATCGAGAGCAGGTTAAGCTTCCCCACATTGGATCGGGGGTGCTCTTAGCGTGAGGAGAAGGACCGTCTGTGGCACTGTCCCCCTCTGCTCTGCAGCATCTCCTCTTAACTGGTGGGTGTTTGCCACCGATGCAGACCACTGTGTCATTTTAGGATTTGCCCAAAATAAGTGGGTCTTGTCTATCTTGGCTCCTCCTCTGTGGGCCTTGAGTGTTGTGTGTGGTGGTGGCATAAACGTTTGGGAAAGGAAGAACCCTGTTGTACCACGATTCCATGGCCCTTTTTCTGGAACTCCTCCTGGGTTATTACCATGATCAGAGCTTTGTTGTTAAGTACAACTTGAAAATCCACGTGGAAAACACACGTACGTTCCATGGAGCTCGCTCTGTTCAGTGTCTCTCAAATGTCCTTTGAGAACCGCTAAGAAAAGAAGGAGACTTTCCTAGATAGCCAGCCAATTTCCTCAACATCAGCCCAGTCAGCAAATGTGATCTGCAGCTGCGGGAAGCTCCCAGAGAAGGGGGAGTCAGCCTTGGTTAGCAATGAGAGATTCCTGCCCAGACTGCGCACCCTCAATCCCTTCTGTGACCAGAATTCACTTTCAAGGAAGAACTGAAGGAGGGCCTGGCTGGTCCTGGTCAGGAGGAATTATTAATTTTGAGGGAAGTCCGTGAGCTCTAGTGGGAGTAGAGCGCTTTTTCTAGGGATTCATTTGACAACCTAGGAGACGGGTAACTCGTATGTGGAATTGCTTTGACCAAGACTTTTCATTCTAAAAGTTACCCTTATTCCAAAACAGAGAAAGTGATCTCCAGTTTCAAAAGCTGTAATTTTTGGCAGAACATTCTACTGTGAATTGGTTTCCTTCAAGCAGTGAGATTAAGGGTGGGCTGAGTGGGCTTGTCCGGCTACACCTGTGATGCTGAGCCATCCACAGCCCCACCCAGTGCCCCTCAGTGGTGTCACAGCCTTGGCCTTGAGCCCAGGGCCCCAGAGTTCGGCTGGCTGGCCTCGTGCTCAGGCCTGACCTGGGGAGCCCCAGGGGAGCAGAGAGATTGTTTCTATTTTCTCAGGTCCTATCTTGTTTTGTGTAGAAAGGAATTTGGGCCAAATTAGAATAACGATGATGGAGTCTGGCCTATTTCTGTGCCCGTGTCCTCCAGGGGCCGTTAGACACTGTCACACCTAATTTGTTGTTTTCCAAAGGAATGTCCCTGTGTGAAGTCGTCACCTGTCTCCTCTCTCCTCCCAGCGCACGTGGCTCTATCGAAGAGCCTGCCCGCTTGTTTCCAGGGCGAGGTCTCAGTTGTGGCAGCACACAGGCGGCACCCCCTTCAGAGACAGAATTGTCACATCTTGTCTTCAGTTCCGTGTGGCAGAGGCCGCTGCGGGCACTGCTGCTTTCCACTGGCTCCTTCCCCACGTTCTTTGCTCCTCTAGGGAAATGCAGAGCGAGGCTGGCTAAGCCTGGGGTGACCCTCTGGCTCTGGGTCCTGACGACAGGCGATCCAAGCGTGTCAGAAACTTGCTGAGAGAGATGGGGGATGGATGTTCCCATTGTTCTGCTTGATCTTCTGGTGTGAATCTGCCAAGAATACTGTAAACCCAGGGACTCCCCAGGTGTGGCTTCCAAGCTGCTGCTGTCCTCTGGCCCAGTGCCTTCTCTCACCTTGCAGTTTCACTCTAGTGTAAAGGGGCTGAGGGGGCCAGACCCCTGCTGTCCCTCGGGGTGCAAGGCAGCATTGGCCGGGCCTGGGGACTGCTGGCAGGAACGAAACCCTGGCACGCGTGTCCACATGTGGGTCAGTGGCGGAGTTTAGTGCTATAAAGGGCAGTGTGAGTGTCCCAGGGCCTCACAACAAATGACCACAAACCGGGGGCTTCAAACAGCAGAAATGTGCTCCTCCCAGTTCTGGAGGCCCGAAGTCTGAGCTCCAGGTGTGGCAGGGCTGCGCCTCCTGCAGCAGGCTCTAGGGGAGGAACCTTCCTTGTCCCCAGCTTCTGGGGTTCCCAGGCACCCCTTGGTTTATGGCCACATCGCTCCAGCCTCTGCCTCCATCTTCACGTGTCCTCCTCCCCTGTCTCTTCTCTTCTTCCGTCTGTTATCAGGACGCTTGTCACAGGATTTAGGGCCCACCTGGATAATCTAGGAGGATCTCTTCTTGAGATCCTTAACTCAATGACGTCTGCAAAGACCTTTATTCCAAATAAGGTCTCAGTCTGAGGTTCTGAATGGACATAGCTTTAGGGGCCACTATTCAACTGCAATGCTCTCTCTCCTTACAGCTTAATTCTTGTAGACAGTAGCTCACTTTCACGAAACTGTAAGGTTGGTAAACTCTTTTCTGTGCCCCAGGCTGCCTCTTTCCCACCCTTTGCCCACGTGGATGTGGGTCCTTCCCTCGTGAGAGCTGGCAGTAAAATCAACGCCCAGCCCAGAGAGGGCGTGGCTCTGAGAGTACCCGGCTGTGAGAAGGGCGGTCACACAGTCAGGCGGGGGCAGCCCCACTGGAGCAGAATTGAGAGGCTGTGTGCCTCCCTGGCATGGAGGCACCGATGAAAGACCCAGGAACAAACGAGGAGCCCAGGAAGCAAATGTTTTGTGAAACAAGGAAGCACGGTGGCTTGGACCTTCTTTTTGTTGGGGCATAGAATTAACTCGTTCCTAAGTCCAATGTAAAACTTAATCCGCATAAGGACTATTTTTTAAGTAGTGATATTTTCATGGAAAAGGTGCCGGCTGGTGGTCATGGGCACATGTGGGCGACTGAGCCGGTGGGCACCCTGGGCTGTGACCATAGTGCAGCAGCTGTCCACAGCCAGCAACTGGCCTGATCGGGCAGCACCCACGCCACTTTGTTTGGGAAATGCCTGCACATCACCTGGCCACGTGCCGTGTCTCAGACACACAGCCCTGGGGGTCCCGTCCATCCCGTACCACCACATATGAGCAACCCTCCTCCTGGTCCTCCTGGGAGGGGTGCCTCCCACCTCCCAAAGGCTGACATGACGCAGTGGGGAAAAGCCCAGAAATTAAGATGCGTTGCCAGCCAAATACCCTGTCTGTGTATGAGTTTCCTGTGTCTGCTATAACCAATTACCACGAACTAGAAGCTTAAAATAACCCAAACTCATTCTCTTACGCTTCTGGAGGTCAGGTGCCTAAAAGAGGTCCGAGGGGCTGTGCTCCTTCTGGAGGCTGTAGGGGAGGATCTGTGTCTTTGGCTTGTCAGCTAGTAGAGGCTGCCTGCAGTCCTGGGCTCCTCGGCCCCTCCCTACAGCCGCTGCTTCCGTCGCCCCGTCTCCTTATTCTTACTCACACCTCCTGCCTCCCTCTTATAAGGACCCTTGTGATGACTTGGGACCACCCAGATAATCCGGAATCATCTCCCCATTTTGAGGTCCTTAATCACATCTGCAAAGTCCTTTTGCCCTGTGAGGTCGCATATTCACAGATTCCCTGGGTTATAACGTGGGCATCTTTGGGGGGCCATTATTCTGACGACCATAGGTGGCGTCTTATCAGATGAAATATGACTTTCTGACTTACCCATTTCAGCATATTTCATTAGAGAAACAGCTGGAATGGAGAGGAGGCCAGACCTTTGGGTTGACCGGCTTCTTCAGATCTAAGGCAGGAAATTCTTCGCTTTATCTCCATTCAGCCTCTGATAAAACTACTTACTGGGAAGAGCAGTCCTTTGTACGCATCAGCCAAATGCCAGGCCCAGCTGTGGCCTCACCTGTCACTTAGATGCAGTGTCCTTCAGGAATCCATGCCTGCAGCTTTGCCTCAGGAAAACTTTGCCCAGAAGGTCAGAAGACGAGTTTGAATTTCAGCCACGAGAGGTGTGTGCTGAGGAGTGAGCACTCAGTACACCCACACTCCTAACACCGCGGGGGCACTTTTTGGGGGCTTGCAGGGGCAACT